TTTGATTTTTCTTTTTTTGTGTTATTTACGATAGAGAACTCAAGCAACTTTATGTATTTCTTCCTTTTTTGTGTTATTTACGACCTTCCCATCAGTATTTGAGCTGCACAACTCCCTCTTTTTGAACTTAGGGTGTGCCTTTGAATTGCCAGTGATACAATTTGGGCCAGTCCGCTCCTGAAAACAACTGTTTTTGGATTGGAAGCACTGTAGGGGAACTGCGCGCGTTAAAGATGAACACACGCTTGACGAACGACAACAGGTCCACCTATGACATGTCAAATAAGGTAAACAATATGCACTCGAAGGCGGCAAAGATTACATGTAAGCGAGAAAAAGAACAAAAATTACTTGATTCGATGACAAATGAAAGCAGCATAGTGAGTACTGTAAATGTAGTGAGTACTGTAGCGATGTTTTTACGCTCAAAACATAAAACAGGAAAGTTGCAGAAGTACATCGTGGATCGGTACGATTCTACAATAGTATGGGCTTTCACCTGCACTAAATCCATCAATGACATCACATTGGCCTTTTGAAGACCCATCCCGCAATAGCTTATAGTGAGAAGGGTAATCACTTATAAAATTTTTGCCATTAACCATAAGTAACTTCTATATAGAAGTAGATTGTTGAGAGCGTCCATAATAAAGACCGCTTGACAATCTCAGTGTACAAGTTTCCTGGACCTGCTGCTGCCGTGCCAATAAGTCAATAACTCGCGCCTCTGTGCATTATCTGGCTTAGAAATCGTTTCAGCATCATCTAGCACTATTGTAAATGCATTCCAACACTGGAATGATCGGATGTGTGGCAGGACAATCGTAATGTGCCACGCGAGTGGGTGTGGCGAGTGACGCCGCGCTTGATGGACGAGTTGTCCTGCCTGGCCATCTACATATTAGTGTCAGCGGGATGGAAAACTAGAACGTCATGGAGTCCTGTTTCTGCACGAACTCATAGAAGTTTGCTGCTCTAATAGACGTACTGCCGCCTATCTAGCCTACAAAAGCCTGTCGAGGATTTCGTCGCAATTGCGCGCGCGACGACGCCCATACGATTGTATTGTCCGTCTCCGGAGAAAAACACCAAATAGGCATAATCAAAGTTCGGCATGAATTATTTTTGATAGGACTGGTAACACCGGTAAACTCGTGAAATTGCACACAGTGGCAGTTTACATCACTGGTGAATCGAAGTAAAGGCAATGCACATCTCACCTTGTGACCGCCTTTGATTCCATGGTCCTCTTTTTGGAAAAAGGTATTCAACGAAAGCAGAACCACTCGTGACTACGAGCGCGTTCAGCGAAATAGGCACGTAGTTTAGGTTTATGCACGTCGTGCCACCAAAGAAACAACGGCCACGCCCGATGTTAAGTGAAGACTGATATTAGTGGTGAGTACATGTGCAAAACTGGGCACGAATGTACTTAGGGGATAGGGGTGGGGAGAGTGAGGCCAGAGCGGGCTGTGGAACCACTGACAGCACGTCTGCTTACTGTCCTCCTACGCCGAGTTGGGTTTTGAGCTTAGAGCGCAAGACCGCTGGCTGTAACGACGTCGAACGCCGCGGATTACTCTTCAGATGTCGCTCTATGCCCAGACCTTCTTGCAGATGCGCTCTACGCCCAGACCTTGACTGGGAGAAGAGAAAGAAGAGGGGAGAAGAGCAGACCTGCCGTATGGTGGTCCCCCTCCTACAAACGTTAGCGCCGATAAATGTTACTCTTGTGGACCAAACTACTCGGACAGGAAAGGAGTCCTGCGACTACTCGGACAGGAAAGGAGTCCTGCGAGCACATGGCATCTTTTGGCCCCGATTTGGTCAAAAATAACCTTCAAAAATAGAAAAGAAAACGCCAACTGACCACCAATTCATCGTGTTCCTTGAGTTTTCCTTTCCTTGGCAACGATGCCGCGCGAAGGACGCGGCGTTCGCTGCCGCTGCACGAATCGCAACTACTGCTACTACTACTACGTCGAACGCGACCGCGACGTCGTGATCTCTCCGATCTAGGCATCCAAGTGGAACTGTACTTATGCTCCGAGTATCTGTAATCAAACCGTTACTGAAAACAGAAAAAAGAACGTGATAAAGTTACAATTAATCGGTAATTCAGTTAAGTCGCTTACATACTTTGCGAATGTGTCGAGTCCCCAAACTTTTGGAACGCAAGCTGAAGTATTAAATGGAAGTCGATTGATCCCACCCACTAGCATTTTCGCTGAGCCCGCGAAACGAGAGAATACGCGGCCACCTGAGAGCGCGTTCATACTTCGCAATTCGATCGCCTGGACCGCGCGACTGGATCGCGAAGTATGAAGGTCTGGGTGGCTTTTTCTTCTTATTCGCGAGTTATCCGGAAACAAGAGTAGGCGGATATCAAACGATTATCATTTTCCAGATTCGCGAATCTGCGCCTCTTCACATTCGCAAAACACGAAAGCAGGCCTTGTTCGGCAGCTATCCTTCAGCGAAACCAAAAACGAAATAAACTGGAACACAACCAGTTTGCAGAATAAAAAGAAAACAGAACATTTAGAAACCTTCATCTCAATATGAGAACTAGGGAAAACATACTATACATGGCACTATGAACTTCATAAACATGCTCAAAATCTATACAAACATTCAATATTTATGGAAGCCTTTCGAAGATCTACTCAAATACCAAGCGTCTATTGCTTGTATGAATCAATCGAGGAAAAAACGCTGACAGATTACCAGCGAGTAAACCTCTCGTATCACCGATGATAAGAACCCGTGAATTGAAAATTAAGTAGAGCATTTCAGTTTCCAAAAACGCTGGGGCTTGTCAGGGGGGGGAGGGCTGGGTTCGGCGCAAAGCTGGTCCTTTCTCCAACTTGAAGCGTGCAAGCTACAACAATGAAAGGGAAACGGGCCCAAGCCAGCCCTCTGATACATCCCAGCGTCTGCAGTGAAAACGACTCGATATTGTGATTAAAGGCACATTCCACAACAACCCAATCTTAGCTATAGCACAAAAAAGCGAAGACAGCTCAGAATCGGCCCACGGGCAGTGTAGCACGCAAAAGAAGGGAAACCATAAGATAAGGCCTTAGTTTTTGTAGGTGATCTCAGGGAATCAAGGGGAATAAAGCAAAATAATTGGTAGTTTGCTTGAATAGAATTTTCGCCTGTTTGCATTGCTGTCAATGCAGCGATATCTTTTGTTTTCTTCAGGTTTGTTTATCCCATCAATACTAATCGCACCCCCTCTCCTGCGGGGTCACGTGGCAGCCCTCGCCTCGCATCACACTGATCATAGAGCTAATCAGAGAAGAAGAAAATGTAAGGAGAACTACTCCAAACAATAATAGTTCGCTTGTTCTCGCTTCATGCGAACACACGCATTTCGTCACACCCGGGACTCGTCAACTTGACTGGGGGCCTGATTATCTTTGGGCAACATTCATAGCTTGCATCGCTGTGAATTAAAAAGCAGAAAACCTGCGAGGAGGATTAGATTAGGAACGAGTCACTATCGCTGAGTTCGCCAGATAAGTCCATGAAAAATAGGTACTCGCTATGGGCGCAGAACGGCTTGGTGAGGGCAGTGAATGGTACTCAGCTGAGCTTGCGCAGGATACCTTGTGAGAACCTTTAATCTTCCCGTGACCAAAAGACACAAACTAACAAAAGGAACCAGCGAAAGTATAAAATGCCCTCCTTCAAACCGAGCTGCGCCCTCGATATGTCGCCGATCCTTCAGCGTTCTCGATGCCAATCAAGCTCTTTTGGCTGCGTTCTTACCTTGCAACACCAAAGAATCGGAAAGCTATGGAATCGGGAGGATTGAGGAGGAAAAGGAAAGTATACGTATTGGTCTGAAGAATCGAAGAAGGTGCAAAATCGGCAAATCGAAAAATTCGCGAGGATTAGATACGTACTGACTTCGCCCAAGTGGAGAACTGGCGAATCGTAAATTAGGAAATCCGAGTAATGGAGAGTGGGCGGGTACAAAATTTCAAGGGTCATAGAATAAAGGATCAATCGATCACACGTTGTTTTTTTCGTGCTTTGTCCTATTCGCTGGTCCTCTAGATCGTCACTTATGAATTGCTTTTTTATTGGATTCTCCAACTCTCCCCAGCTGGCTATTCTACAGATCTGCAATATCGCTCAACGCGGATTCTTGGATTCTCCGGCGCCGCACAGACTGAACGGGGTCCTAGTTCTTCGACATCGACTCGCGAAGTTGCCACAACTCCTTCTTATTCTAGAAACGGCTAAAGGTCCTGCCGGGCTAGGGAGGACATTTTGCACTTTCGCTCGTCCTTTTGCTAGCTTGTGTTAATTATAATTGACAAGATATACTTTGGTGAGAGCTATAAAATCCTGTGGAGCTGCGAAATGGTAGAAGTGATCCCCTTTGATTACTGCATTTCACCAGTCTTCAAAATTCACAAAGTAATCTGAACCAGCTTTGGTAAGCTCTGTTTGGTATCCCATCACTATGAACTGGGCTAAGTAAATCTATGTAATCGTGGATTGTGCCCTTAATGATCACTTTTACATTCCACTTGGTCTAAGCGCTGCAACTTGCACCATAGCCGCACGGAGATTTGTTAACAACAGTTTCATGGCTTTCGTCCAACGTTCTTCTTTGTTCAAAAGCATTTTTGCCGAGTATTCCATTGTACCATGCGTAAGGCAATCCTTGTTGATTCGATGAGGTATTTCAAAGGAAGAATTCTGTTTCTGAAAACAATAACTATTAGCACTTACACTAACAATTGGCACTGAACAGGGATTTTGATTTTTGTAGAATTCTGACTGGAATTCTGACTGGTAAAAAAGGTAAAGCGCTAGCAAAATTATTCAGAAAGAAAAGAAAAATAGAAAAGAAGGCGCGGACCAGACAACCAACTGAAAACCTACAATGAAGACGGAAAACAATGAAGAAAGGGCAGTTAAGACAGATTACACCTAGAATGACAACAAGAGAAAATATGAAACAAGTTACACTTCATACTCCTGGGATGGAGAGGGGGTAGCTGTGTACCTTGTTTGAACGTGGTGTGGGATGTCTTTCTCTTGTCTTGGGATAATTCCATTTGAGACAGCTGTCATCATGCCTCTGGTGGACGACGGTATAAATACTCAGGGTGGAGCATCTTGTGTCAAACCCTGGGGGTCGTACTTTTGCTCTGGGGAGGGGGGTCGTATTTGTAAGACAAATTTATTTTGATAGTTGATTTTTTCTTGTGGAAAAGGGGGGTCGTATTAATTTTTTTTTATATGCACTATATGCATTCTGTACGCCCGTGGGATACTTTTTCGCCGACTATCTACTCATCTGCTCATCGCTCGTCGTTCGACGAAAAAGCCGTGGAGGGGGTCGTGCCTGGACCCCATTCGAAGGGGGGGGGTCGTACTCACACCGACATTTCGCACATCCCCATGCTGTACCCTGTGCTCAAGAAGCACCGATGCTGATTGGAAGGACGCACAATTAGGCGCAGCGGGGGGTCCCGCAACGAAGCGCGGGGCGCGAAGACTCTACGACAATTTGAAGTATATTTCGCAATTGTCCGCGGCACCCTATTCTCAGTATGGATTCATCCCTCGTAGGAGACGGCGGTCCCAGTTTCTACTTCTGAATTGTATCCATCCTGTTATCTGCTCACGTTTCGTCCAACTTGAAGATCCTTATCTTCTCATATACTCATTCGCTCGTACCTCATGCAATTTGAAGAAACTAGTTATGATGTTCATGACCTATCAGATAAGGTAATGTCAGATGTTGTAGTTCCATTTTGATGATTTAGTTCTACTTGCTCTACGTCAAAAAATATGATTGCTTTTCCTCGCATCATTTCGTAATACTCATTTAATGTCATCATCATGTAATACTCATCATTGAAGCCGATGTTCTGGTATCAATAGTTGCTCTCATATCCGCATGCTCGCTCACTTTAACGTTCCTAGTTGTTTCACTAGCATTTCCTATGGGTACTACCTATTTGCACTTACTATTTCCTACTGGTATTCATCACTGAAGCGCGTATAGTGTGCATAGTATATGTAATTGATTTGATCGTATATTGTTTCGTGTCTAGATTTTCGTATCGAGATAAATGTTTAATTACCCAAGTTTGAGGTTTGTGCCTGGACGGTCGCCCGACCTCGAGTGTTTCGTGTGGTATTCTCTGTCTAATCGACTCTTCATAGGATCTACTCAGGTGGACGAATTCCGCGTGGCAACCAGGAGAATTGGAGTCGAACGCCAAAGGAAAAGAAGTAAGCGACCACCAGGCACTTTAACACAAACTTTTGGTGCATCGGCCGCTATTTTTTATTCGATTCGAGGCCGCTATTTTTTATTCGATTCGAGGCCGCACTACTCTCATCACTTCTATTTATTCATCGATTATTTGCTGCTTACGTATTCTTCTTCTGTTAACCAAATCAACAACACAAACGTCAACTCTACAACGCAAACAAAAAAGAAAAATACAACAAAAAGAAAAATGCCTTCAATACTAAAACCAACAAAAACACGCTTGACTAAAGTGGGCAAAACACTGGATGATTTACTCCGCGACTCACAACAGTGGATATCCTTTAACCCGCCAAGGCTCGACAGCGACGACGACACCTACGACCATTTAACAGGGAAGAAGAGAACTCTTCACCAACGAGTCGTCAATATGGAAGCTGCCAAAAAGTCCCTCGAAGGAGCACTCGCAAACTTCCACCACATGTTCAGCAAGCTGGAACAAAGCGAACAAATTTCAGAAGAGACGGCGTACGAAAACTACACAGAAACAGCGTGGGACCTGATCACATCAGCAGAAGCCATGCTGGGAAAGCTAATGGAGAAGGAGGTCGAAATCGCCAACACCTTGGAGAACATAAGTCGAGCAACCGCGAGAAGGATACAAGCGGAGCGATCCAGTGACATCCACGGAATTTCATCACGCGAATCAGGACAAAGTTCGCCGATATCACCTATACCAGCCCAACTGCAAGCACCCCTGCCACGTCTCCAACTGCCTAAGTTCAGCGGAAGAAGGCAAGAATGGGATTCTTTCTGGGCTACGTTCAAGACAAGCATCGACGATCAGCCCATAAGTCAAATGATGAAGTTCAACTACCTATTACAAGCACTGGTTGGAGAAGCCAAACAAACAGCAGCACAGTTTGAAGTGATCGAAGAGAATTACCAAGTCGTAGTCGACTTTTTGAGGAAGAAGTACGGCTCAGACACCCTGATAATCGAGGAACTACTAGCTCAACTCGAGCAAAGTCGAGCGGACGGACCCAGCACCAAACAACAGGCCAATCTACTGGAACGGATCTCGGCACTGTTGATGCAGTTATCCACAAAAGGACAAGATATCAACCACCGCTTGATCCTAAACATGGTTTTGAGGAAATTCAACAGCGAAGTACAAGCAAAAGCACTGGAAAAGCGCGAGAATCTGGAAGACATCAAGGATTGGACCTGGACCACATTACGACATCACCTCGCAATTATCATTGACACAAAGGAAAGAATCGAAAGGTCACAGGAGTCAATAAAGAAAAGTGCGCAGCCCACTCAAAACACTGTGACCAACAAACGATCCACAGCGATCTGTATTTACTGCAAGAGAAGCAACCACCGCTCCATCGAATGCAGAACAGTACCGCTTCCGGATCGAGCAGCCTTCTTAACAAGGAACCAGCTGTGTCACAATTGTGGAAAACCAAATCACAGAACCGAAGACTGCAGGAGTCCAGGATGCTTCAAGTGCGGACGTAAACATCATTCATCATTATGCTTCCACAATCCCCAGTCCCAAGGCAGGCAAAGCGCTACACAGGAAAGAACAGCGCAAGCACAACCCCAGCCGATACCGAGAAGTCGAATTCAGTCAACTGGAACTCGGAGGCAGAGCAGAAACGGAGCGCAAGAAACAGCTCGTCAAACTAGCCAAAACGTTGTTACCTCCGAAGGCGAGGAACGACTCCATAGTCCTCAGGAAGACAGTGAAGTATACCATGTCAGTGGCAGGAAGACCCAAAAGACAGGTGCACTGCTCCTCACAGGAACCACAACAATACAAGGGCCAAAGAGAGCCAAACAAGTCCGCATACTAATGGACACAGGAAGCGAGCTGTCATTCATCGATTCGAAACTCGTCGATGAACTAGAACTGCCAATCAAAGGAGAAACCACACTGCGACTGAAGACATTCGGCTCGGAATCAGCTAACGAAAGCCAACACCGCATCGTTCAAGTGACTCTAGTCGACAAGGAAGGCAAGAATCACGAATGTGAATTACTCGACAATCCAGTTATCGCAACGAAATCAAACAGCGTGCAACTCACGCTCAAGGACAGGAAGTACATTAATCACCACGGGCTGTCGCTGTCGTCACCGCCAGAGGATCAAAGCCAGCCTCAGATCTTATTAGGATGCGATCAGCTATGGGAGATGATGGAAAGCAAAAGGTGTAAACTACCATCAGGAATGCACCTTATCGACACTAAGTTTGGACACATGTTATCAGGAACACAAACCCTTAACAAACCACAACAACTCTACGAAGTGAAACAAATACACAACGAAGTCGATACCTGGGACAAGTACTGGAGTATGGAATCCTCAGGTATCGATGAATATACAGGGCCACAGAAAATGGAAAAACTAAATATCGAAGAGAAAGTCATGAAGAAATTCAAAGAAACAATAGTCAAAAAAGATGATGGTTATTACGTGCGTTTGCCATGGAAAGAAGATCACCCACGTCTACCAGACAATAAACGGATAGCAATCGCAAGGCTCAGGAGTCTTTTGAAGCAGTATCACAACCAGCCGCATGTTCTGCAGGAATTCCAGAACACCTTCGAAGATCAGCTGCAAAAAGGCATCATCGAAGAGGTTACACCGGAGATGAAAAGAACGACACCTCGCGACAACATCATTCACTACCTCGCCTATCAAGTGGTAGCCACGCCGGAAAAGAAAACAACACCAAGAAGAATAGTCTTCGATGCCTCAGCACACTACTCTGGAGAACTATCACTCAACGAAGTGCTGCATCAGGGACCACTGATACTGCCCAACTTGAACGGAATGCTCATGCGATTTCGTGTAGGCAAAATCGCCATAGCTGCCGACATCGAAAAAGCATTCCTGCAAGTGCGTCTACTTAAGCAAGATCGAGATGCCACACGATTCCTCTGGATAAAGGACCTATCGAAGCCCTTCGACGAAAACAATATCGTCACCTACAGATTCACAAGAGTGACATTCGGGCTGAATTCTTCGCCATTCTTGCTTGCCGCAACAATTAGCTTCCATTTGGAGACGACTACGTACAATCCCATAGTTACAAAAGAGATCAAGGATAACTTGTATGTCGACAATTTATTACTGACAGCCGAGACAAAGGAGCAAGCCTGCCAACAATATCGAGAAGTCAAAAAGATCTTCAACGAAATCAACATGAACATGCGCGAGTTCATCTCAAATGACCCAGAAGTCATGGCTCAGTTCGATGACAAGGACAAGAACACAACAGCATTTTGCAAAGTACTTGGGATTGGATGGAACGCCACCGAAGACAAACTTATCGCCAAATGTGACGTTAAACCGATGACGACGATCACGAAAAGGTCGATACTACACATCATAGCATCCGTGTATGATCCCTTAGGATGGCTGACGCCACTAATGGTCAGATGCAAACACTTCTTCCAGTCACTATGGACCAAACCATACCAGTGGGACGACATATTGTCACAACAAGATCAAGAAACCTGGAAGAAACTATTTAACTCCATCAGAGGATTCCGGAAAGAAGTACCAAGACAGCTGGCCAACAAGCACGGAAGTCACCAACTCGTTACCTTCAGCGACGCCAGCACACGCACAATGGCAGCCTGTGTATACATCAAAAACGACGAGAAACATTCGCTTATACAAGCCAAAACGAAGCTACCGTCATTGAAAACGACACATACCATACCAAAATTGGAGGTGAATGCTCTAACTATAGCCGCACGTCTCACGTTGTCTACCTTTGAAGAACTCAGGAAATCAATTTCAATAGACGCGGCTTACATTCTCACTGACTCCGAAATAGCGTTGAGTTGGCTGAAGAACGTCGGAGAAAGCAAAATAGCAGGAGTTCTAGTCACCAACAGAGTACGAGAGATTAGAAGAATCTACGATCAACTGCAATCGGATGGCGTGCAAGTACATTTCGGCTATGTCAACACGAAAGAGAACCCAGCCGATTGTGCTACACGAGGACTAAACTCCGAGCAACTGGAGAACCATTCCTGGTGGAAAGGACCACAGTTCCTATCAAAAAGCGGAAGCAACTGGCCGGCAGAAACTAAGCTATTCCAGCTTCAACCTCAGATAGCAGAAGTTCTCGAAGTTTCAACAACCGAAGACATGCTCATCGATTGGACTCGATTTAGCTCTGCAACAAAATTGAAGCGTACCATAGCAGTCGTCTTGAAATTTCTCCAGAAAACTTCACGTAACCTGCCTGCGGAATCAATACAGAGAATAAGCAAAGCGATCTCAATACAAGAACAAGACGACGACACAAATACCATCACGGTATCCACGCTCAAAAACGCCTGGGGATGGATCATCAAGCTTCACCAGAGGGAAACCAACTCAGCAAGAACATCCCATCTTCAACGGAAACTTAACATGCATCAAGACGATAAAGGACTATGGCGATGCTATGGACGATTAGGAAGAAGC